GAGGACATGCTGTGAATGTTTCATCATGGCAACTCAGTCTCAGACAAGATTGTTCCAGGTGCTGATGCGTTACATTATGTTCAGCGAGGATGTTACTAGTCCTTATCATTGGTTTTTAAAACTGTATGCATGCAGTACTGACATGCGTGAAATGTTTTGGTTAAAAGGAATGTACAACATTTGCCTTTGCTGCATTTTTTTCAAAAATAAATCGATTTGGAGGATTAGGCCCTAGTATGTTATGGCAAATATTGTTCAAATGACTGGCTTCACGTTTTGGGCTTGTATATGCTGGCAAACCGAGAAAACCAATCATGTACTTGAAGTCTGGTTGCCTGAACCAGTCTTAAGATGAAGCAGAGCAATTTGTAGACTTTAGGGAATTGTAAGGTCAGAGAATCAGTCTAGAAGGCTTGAACCCTTTCACCAGTGTGTAATCAATTGCAACGATAACGCGAAATAACTAAATATGAAAAATTAGGAACTGTTTTTATAGCCATTTTTTCCACTGCTGGTTGGCTAACCAGTGTTGGAAAAATACAATTTTTCTTGAAAATGTCAGCACACCAGGAGCCATGATTTTACAGGATGCTAAGCTTTTGTGTCATTCCCTAACAATCAAGTGAAGTACTTCGTGTAAATTTGACCATGTCGTTTTTTTTATGCTTGCAAATGTTATATCTACCCTTAACATATGTTTCATTTTTGCAATAAAATGCTCTTCAACTATTTCAATAATAACACAGTCAGTGACAACTATGTGTTAAGTTTCATATACGTGTAAAGTTTTAAACGCTGAAAGAATTAAAATGAAAATCATTTTCAGAAAAAAAATTCCAAACTTGTCTCTTCTATAGTTTTCAATTTCTTGATCCCATCATGGATGGAGGATTAAATAATATTTTTTTTTTTTTTAAAAGAGAGAAGAATATAACATACAATTTTAGTGTTTATTTTTTTGATGTATTTGATTCTGAAAACAAAACTTCATTTTTTTTTAAATGATAAGTTCACCAAATTTATTTTTGGGGAAAGAAAAAAAGAAGAAAATTAAGTAATAATATAATCATGGTGGGATTCGAACCCGAGTCGCCAGATTGGGAGTCTTACGCCGGTCCAGCAGACCATTAACGCGCTCAAATGCACTATTAGTTCTTTTTAATTATAACTGTAAGATAGACTTATCGCGGCTTTTCACGTACAGGTACATGCCCATGCACGCTTAGACGTAAAACACAGTCTGACGATGTAAATCACTCGTTTGGTTTTGGGTGTAGCTGTTCAAGTTGATCTAAATTTATTTGGAAAAGGATAAAGGGTGTCAACTGAACTGAAATCCAGAAATTCCATGGAATAAAACTCGACAATCCTTGGTTTCAGTACGAAACACACGTGTTCAACGGATGCAGAGAAGCCTATTTCTTTTGTTAATTTCCTTTGTTAAATCTTGCGTTAACAATAAAATGTTTCCATTTAGGCGAAAGGATTAAACGCCGGGATCTTTTTTCACGCTTGAGTGCATCTGAATGGGGAATATTGAAGCGGAAAATCACGATTTACAGCACTTAGGCAGCATTTTATCCCACATAATGATACTTTTTGGAGAGGAAATTGCATACTGAATACAACTGTAGTTTCAAAATTCAAAAATTCGCCGTATTTAAAAAGTCGAGGTAATTTTTTTGGAAAAATTTCACTGAAACTTTCCTCATCCGAACGTAGGCGGCGCTATATATATTTCATTCTCGCACGTGCACCGTATTCAGAGTTGGCTAGCGCATTAGCGTGTGTGTATGGCATTGCAAGGGGATGGGGGCGGGGCTGGCTGCCTATTTTGTATACATGTACGGTTTATAACCCTTTTTTAAAAACATTTTTCCATTAACGACTTTTAGTAAAAATATTTCGCTTGTTCCCCCCTCCCCCCATCTCACACGACAAAACAAATCCCTGCCCCCCTCTTGCTTCATGGGTATACCGGGGCCCTTTTAGGCGCTTCTCTTTTGTTCCATTAAAGTTGACTTTTATTCTGATTGCATTTTTTTCACTGACCTTAATTATCTATTGTTTTAGTTGTAGATCTATTCAACTTTTATTGGTAAGATAAATTGAAATTGTGATGCTAGGATAAGATTGGGTACAGTGGATAGCGGGTGATACTCAGATGGGGCGGCGGCTAGCGCGATAACAATGCGCACTGAGAATGAAATATATAAAGCGCCGCCTACGTCAGGATGAGGAAAGTTTGGGTGAAATTTTTCCAAAAAAATTACCTCGACTTTTTAAATACGGCGAATTTTGGCATTTTAAAACTATAGATGTATTCAGTATGCAATTTCCTCTTCAAAAAGTATCATTATGTGGGATAAAATGCTGCCTAAGTGCTGTAATTCGTGATTTTCCGCTTCAATATTCCCCATTCAGATGCACTCAAGCGTGAAAAAAGATCGCGGCGTTTAATCCTTTCGCCTCAATGGAAACATTTTATTGTTAACGCCAGATTCAACAAAGGAATTTAACAAAAGAAATAGGCTTCTCTGCATCCGTTGAACACGTGTGTTTCAAACTGAAACCAAGGATTGTACGAGTTTTATTTCATTGATTTTAGCTCAGTTGACACCCTTTACCCTATTCCAATTAAATTTAGATCAATTAGAACAGCTACACCCAAAATCTAACGAATGTTTTACATCGTCAGACTGTGTTTTACGTCTAAGCGTGCATGGGCGTCAACGTGAAAAGCCACGATAAGCCTATCTTACAATTGTAATTAAGCAGAACTAGTAAAACATTTGAGTGCGTTAATGGTCTTGTGGACCGGCGTAGGACTCTCAATCAGGCGACTCAGGTTCGAGTCCCACCATAATTATATTACTCTTTTTTTTCTTACCTTCCCAACTTTTTATAGCTCCATGCCCAAACATAAATTTACTGAACATATCTTTTAAATAAACTGAAGTTTTGTTTTCAGAATCCCAAACAAACTACCAAGAAAACAAACAAAACAATAACAAACAGATATTTTTTTTCACTTTTATTTATAGTGATGATTTAATCATCCCTTTATTCAAAGAACTATGCACAGCATTTCAACAATATTTTTAAGTACACATTTACTTTTAAAATTCACCTACACAATATTTACACTGCAAGATAAGATTTATCGGACTTGAAGGGAATGTACAACATTTGCTTTTGCTGCAATTTTCAGAAATAAATGGATTTGGAGGATTAGTATGTTTTAGCAAATATTGTTAAAATGACTTTTTTCACGTTTGGGCTTGTAGATGCTGGAAAAGCCAAGAAAACCAGTCATGTATTTGCAGTCTGGTGACCCCACTTATAAGATAAAACGGAGCAATTAATAGACTTTGGGGAATTGTAAGGTCAGAGAATCAGTCTAGCAGACTTGTACCTCTTCACAGGTGTGTAATCAATTGCAAAGAAAATGCGGAATAAATAATTATAAAACAATTGGGAGAAATTTTTGAAAAATAGCCAGTTTTCTCCAATGCTTGTCGGCTGACCAGCGTTGGAAAAGTATCATTTTTCTTTAAAATGTCAGCACATCAGGACTGAGCCACAATTTTACAGGATGCTTTAGACTGTCATTCCCCAACAATCCAGTAAGGTATTTCGCGATAATTTGATCATTTCGTTTTGTGATGTTTGCAAAAGTTGTATCTTCCCATTAAAGAAAGGCAGTAAACATTTAATGTTTTTACAGATGAAATAAAGAAATGAAGTCAGAATATCACACAATATTGGAAAAGAATGTTGCAACCTGACGCCACTTCAGCGGTTGTGTTCAAAGTCTATGGAGCTTCAAGAAAATTTTCTCTGAAGTATTTCTCAGTCCCAGATTCATGTCTTATCATCATTTTTGCAATGAATGACTTCATTGAGATGATATGAAGAAAAAAGAAGCATCAGGTTGCAACATTCTTTCCCAATATTGTACATGAAAAAATATAGTATTGACAATGTGATAGATAGACGGAGAGGCTCTGCTGGCAGAAATTGTGTGCTAAGCAGCGCTATGAAATTGGGCCCAGTTCAAATCACTTATCTTCAATTTGTTTCATGCCTTCTGGACCTTACACCCTAATTGCCTGACAAACGTGCTCTGAAAACTTGTACATGTATATTTTATATCAATATAAACCATTAATTAGTATAATTACATTACGTACAGATGACTACCCCCCTCCTTGAATAACCATTCCTGGCCCATGCCGTTGGCTTGTCTCTAAACAGGCCCCAGAAACTCCAAGAAAACAAACTTGCAGAGTTGTCCTACATGTAAGCAACATTTGTGATGTGAACATTCATAATTATGATGAACATTTCAATGCTGCCTGACTGACTGTCTGACCGAGTCACTGAGTATTAACTGATCGAGTCAGTCACTATTATCACTGACTGACCGAGTCACTGACCGAATCACTGACTGCGCGATGAGTCACTGACCAAGTCACTGAGTTGATGACAACCACTGAGTCGCTCAATGAGTCACTGAGTGATTCCTTAACCGAGTCGCTGACCAAATCAATGACTGAGTCACTGACTGAATCACTGAGTCGCTGATCGAGTCACTGAGTCGCTCACTGAGTCACTGACTGAGTCACTGACCGAATCTGACTGAATCATGGAGTCGCTGATCGAGTCACTGAGTTGTTGACTGAGTCACTGACTGAGTCACTGACCGAATCTGACTGAATCATGGAGTCGCTGATCGAGTCACTGAGTTGTTGACTGAGTCACTGACTGAGTCACTGACTGAATCTGACTGAATCATGGAGTCGCTGATCGAGTCACTGAGTTGTTGACTGAGTCACTGACCAAGTCACTGACTGAGTCACAGAGTCCAGCTTAACTAGGCAAGCCTACTTTGTTTATGCCATGAGAGACCAGCCTCTCTCCAGAACTGTTGTTTTCTCCTGCATAACCATCTTGCCAAAGCTAAATAGAGAAATATTTCAAGGCAAATTTCCCATGCGTCAAGAATAATTAAATCACCCCTAATCAACAGTATCGTTCCATTATTTTATTTTTTTGAAAATCTCTTTGCAAGCAGGGGTTTTTGGAATGTACAAATTTAAACAATCTCAAGACTATAGGATAGGGACCACCTCAGGAAACTGGTGCCCTGTTGTCCTTGGCCCACTTCTTCATGACACGGATGATGTATTCCACCTGTGGGTTACCGGTGTTGCGCAAGATTTGGAGGATGTCTCGCAGTGTTTCTCTGTAGAGGAAAAAAAATGACAAAAATCTAGTGGCTTGAACTTCACTGGGTTTTGTGCGCATAAAAATGAAAGCTATTAACAAGATGGACTTTGGGTCGGGGTGATGTAAATCAATGTTAGGTTTTGCCCTTCACCGATGTATAAACACTGTATACTCAGTGTGTTACCTCCCGAGTGAAAGTTGGAAAAAAATCACTCGGGTGGGATTTGAACCCATGCCTTGACCATGGAGCTTACGGGGTTGGTTGGCTGGCTAGGCAACCAATTCTGTAAGCTTGATGGTCCAGTGGTAAGACGTCTGCACTAACAAGCAGGAGGTCATGGGTTCGAGTCCCAACCGAGTAATTTTTCCAACTTTAACTCGGGAGGTAACACACTGAGTATACAGTGTTTATACGTCAGTGAAGGGCAAAACCTAATAGTGAAAATGAAAGCTGTTTATAGAATATAGGGGAAAAAGGAAAAATCCATAAAGATCAATGAATTTGAACTAGAGGGCTAAGAAGTTGAAAAGTATTCATGAAGATTTGTAATAAAAAGCCGTATCCTCTCTGAGTGATCCCCGTTTGATATTTGCCAGGTCTGCATCGTGACTTTGGGCGTGATCCCTGGCTGCATGGCATATGCGGGTTGAGGGCTTCTGACTAGCGCCCCTTTGACAGAGACATTGACAATTAGGGAACCCCCAACATTGGGCTGGATAGCTCAGTTGGTAGAGCACCGGAGTGATATACTTATTGAGATGTAATTGGTCAGTACGCACTGTTTGATCGATGTACTGTGGTCACCTGACCAAAGGTTGAGATCTAATTGGTCAGTGTGCACTGCTGATTGACAGAGATGACACCCACCTTGGTTCATGGCCAGCTATGATCTGCTGGAATACGCCCACGCACGCCCCTCGCTTGCCTTCCCAGTATTCAGGATTGGGGTCCAATCTTTCCAGGACATCGAAAGTCTTGGCTGTATAGAAGAACTGGCCCATCTACCGACAGAAAAGTTGAAAACATGAGAATTGAGAAGAGTCTCCGTGATAATTATAGTTTGAGGTCGAGGCCAAAAAATCAGAAGTTCAAACAAAAAGCCTGAAGTTTTCGATCATATCGCCACCGTGTTGACAAAGTGATGAATTTGTCCCACATCAATTTTTTTAAGCAGTTGGGATTTTTGGCTATTCTAATATTTTATGATGCCCTCTACATGCTTACTAAAGTTTGTGACACAAAAGTGCATCCTTCATTATTCAAGCTATAATGACACAAAGTCGTAAATGTGCAACAAATCTTTCTTTTTTTTCTTTTTTGACCGGGATTCGTATTCTCGTTGATTTTACACATTGGAAACAATGTGGCAACCTGACGCCACTTTTGTCTTCACACATCATCTCAATAAAGATGAGTTATTGCAAAAATGTTTCACAAACACGAATCTGCAGAAACATTTCCAATTTTGTTCAGAAATACTTGGAAAGTTTTCTTGACTCTCCATAGACTTTGTACACAACTGCTGAAGTAGCGTCTGGATACTGCATTCTTTTCTACACATGCGTTATATTTAGATTTATGTCTCCTCTACCATTTGCGTTTGGACGAAGTGACAAATGTGTTTCGTGAAATCGGTTGCAGGTTTAGATTAAGTGACTGGATACTAATTTGGGGCGAATGCCAAAATCTTCACCAAACATACAACGGACAAAAATAGGGGATGATGTTTTACCTTGTAGCCGTCATTGGCAATGAGCTACAGCAGGCTGAACGATTCGCCAGACGTCTCCATCTTAAGGTACAACTCCCAGGCTAGTCTGGCCTTACAATTCATGATGTCTGAACAACGAAAACAACACAAAGAAAGGTTATAAATACATAGGATACTGCTGTAAGAAAACACATCGGGGTCCACAAAAGATGGTTCTGTTCAGTGGATGCTCGTTTCAGCAATTTTCGGCCAGCAATGCTCAGTGTAACTGTGTACAATATTTGGGAGCCAAGAGGGATGTTCAATGTAGCAAATTTCTGTCGTACAATCTGCTTAAAATGCGATAGAACAAATCCAACATGGCAAATGTATGACTAAGATGTGAAGTTTAAACGTTTAAATGAAAAAACTTCTAAATCCGATTACAAATTTCTCAAAACATGTAACAAACCAGAATTATAGAAAAGGGAGTTCTGTTCAGGCGATCTTCCTTGGAGATAACCACACATAGCACAAATAATTAACGTTGTTTTCAAACCTACTTAATTTACAAAACCTTAGAAGCACCGTAGTACTTGATTACATTTGGGGAACACGTAGTTACATTTTTACTTTATCAACGACTGCCCGCTATTTACTATGTCAACCATTGTTGATTTATCATGTCAATCACGCCGGTCTGCAGATCAGACATAATGGGTAGGCAAAAGCCACTGTCAATGGCTAAACGTTTAAAACGGTTCTTGAAATATTTGCTTATAACGTTTACAAAATGAAACGCAAAGTCACATGCTTAATATACGATCAGGGCGATGATTGCATGCTGGTTATGTCATTGTTAGAGACCCTTCAGTCTACCTCACACATGGGCAACATGTGCATCTCCCTAATGCCACTCTGGATTTTCCAGCAGTACATGAAATGCATGCACGCGACGTGTCGTAACTTTAGTTGGACATTTGGTTGTGCAGTCACCATTGTGAGTGGTCAATACATTATGAGTTGAGGCTTAACAGGTGGATTCATTCCCATAATTAGCAACTTGGAAGTTGGAAGAGGAAACGTCATTCACAATTGACGGTAATACTCACAGCATCTTGCCAACCAGAGACACGTGTAGTCATTCTTGATCTTCTCACTCTGAATGAGCACAAAAATCTGGAAAACAAGAGAAACGAAACCCACTCCAATTAAATCATGGTAAAACCAAGTGTTCCCACCAAAACAGTGGTCTAGGAGGCACAGAAAGATCCCCATCCGGGTTTTAGACTTTTTTTTTTTATGCCTATTCGCCCTGAACAAGGCTAAAAGCCACTCCAGATATACGGGGCTACAAGTCGGAGCACAGCAGCTAAATCAACCACACCATCTCTGCCCTCATAGGCACCCACTTATAAGCCATCAGTGTGGGGGTTTGGTCAGTATCAAATGAGGGCAATAATGCTCATTGTGATTTTTGGCAAGGTATGCACCCCTCTAGTCGGAAAATATGTGACAGCATTGCAGCGGTGGCAGCTTTTTGGGTGCTATCACTTTTTTTCCTTTTTTTAAATGGCAGCCAAAACATGCTTGTTACAACATACAATTTATCCGGTTCAAGCATATTGACGGCAATTTTGAAAACACAAATCAAAAGTGATAACACTGCCACCACTCACACTGCAAAGCTATCACACATTCTCCAACTCAAAAAATCGCTATGAGCATTGCTCTTTTCGATCGTCTGGTACCGGTGGCCCATTTTTTGGACCAAAGCTGATAGCCTATTACTCCTGGGTGGGAGAAGCAATGAGTAACAAAGTGCCTTGCCCAAGGGCACACGCACCATGACCCCAGGCTGGACTCGAACCCACAACCTGCAGCTTTACCCACAGACCAGGAATCCAACGCCCTTAACCACGAGGCCACAGCACTCCACACTCCTCTTGAATCAGGACAGATCATAGGTTGGAGGGAAATAAGCACCAGGCAAGGATTTCCAAAGAGATGCAGCACGTGGGAAAACAAGCTATTGGAATATCTTTTTGTTCTACATCTAGGTATACAGCAACAGTATATGGATGAGAACAGACAGAAAGTCGGGCTTCTCTCTCAAACAGGGCCGACCATCGGTGAAAATTGATACAAAATTCCACTTTTCTTGAAAATGACAGCACACCAGGTGCCGTGATTTCACAGGATGCTTGAGACTATTATTCCTTAACAGTCAGGTATTTCATAATAACTTGGTAGTTTTGGTTTTTGATGTTTGCAAATGAAAGGCACCAGGACTAGTTCAGGCACCATGACGAGTCACTGCGCCATGACTGGCCAACTATTGAGGGCGCAACAACGAAAATTGGGTCCGGGAGTCCAACCTACCTCCTCTGCTTCCTTGTAGTTGCCTGCTGTGGCTTTGGCCTGCGCATAGTTGTAGTTGAACCTATCGTCGTTGTAGAAGTAACTCTAGAAACGTAAACACACAAAAATGTCATCTTGGTTTTTCTGATAATTTTCCCACATGCACTACTTTTGTATTGCCCAAAAGGGCCAATACAGCTAAACCATGCCACAGATACAAGTATGAGCAAGTTGGGGCGAGACTAGTGGTCGATTCCTGACGTAATTTGATGCCCGAGCACTAATATCAACATGCAGACACCTCTACTCAGACGATGGTCAAAATTGTTCACCAAATAAAGAGAATGGTCAAGAATAATTCCAAAACAAAATTGGTCCTGAATACTAGAGGGTGATTGGCAATAAATATTTTCAGGTTTTTGGAGAAAAGTTCAAAAACGAATAGTGTCTAACATTAAATGCATTAGATAAAATTACCTCGGAGCAAATATGCAGTCCTATGCCCCCTGTCTGTCTGGCCTCAACTCCATTTTCAAAGCTGTTGATGTAATAAAATGAATCAATAAACATTACTGCAACTTTCCTAAAAAAATATAGCGGTGCTGTTGAAACCCCTCGGCCTGAGTTTGTTGATATAAGGTGTGAAATTACAAGTACATGTAGTAGGATAATTGCTGGTCAATAGAAATTAGAATGACCTAGACCTTGACCAATGACGTTGACCTTTGACCTTTTGACCCCCAAATCAATCCAAACTTGATTTTCCTAAAGGGCAACCCCTGAAGTTACAAACCCGAATCATATTTCTAACTCAAATTATCATTGAGAAACAATCTACCTTCAACTCACCACTGATATACTCACCCACAAATAAGAAAATAATTTTCTGACATTCTTCTAGTTGGGTAAAGTATTTATTAATTAGAATTTTTCAACTTTAAATAACTTTTTTAGTGTTAACCTGGAATTTTCCAAGATTTACGCAAGTGCGCTGTGTTAGGGAACACTAAGCTGATTAAAGTTTTGGCCCAATTTCCGGACGCCACCGTTTTCAAATTTTGCTCAAAATTGTATGACAGTGAAATTGTTTACAGAATTTAAATGGCAAACACTACTGAAAAAGTACCAGTAACAACTGAATGAATTTGAAGTTTATCAACAAAGAAGTTTGGCAACCGTGCATGAGGAAAGTCAGGAGAAACGTCGCAGTGCGCCACGTTAGGGAACACCACTATATGTGTGCATTGATACTGGGTTCTTAATTGGGGTAGGTGCGGTGAACTAAAAACAATAGGCCCTGGCCCTGCTGACTATATGACTATACAATCATGGAGCTATAAAAAGAGGTCTTACCCAACAATGTATGCAAAGCATTCAAAAATACTCCGGAAAGACACCCATACCTCAGACGTCACTGACCAACAAAGACTAGGAAATGTCCTTTGACATGTTTTCTCAGTAGGCATGCCATGGTAGCAACTTTTCCCTGCTATAAATCCGACATTTTTGGACACATTATCCCTTTTAATGGTGATATAGGTCACTGTAGGGAAAAATTAGTGATGTCCAGATATATGGGAATCTTTCCAGAACGCCGAAAAGAAGTTGAATTTTGAGAAATAAATAGTCCAGACTTACCTGACGTACAGGCCTATATAGCCTACTGCTGCATTATCTGCTGCATAATGTTGATCGATAACCAAACAACAGGTGGCGCTCTTTACAATTAACGGTGTCAGGTACAATCTCATTCAAGTGATCTTGAGCGGTACGCGTTGCCATGGTGATACGTCATCACTGTGCTCTGCATCCTGTATGTGCACCACAGTTGACATCCTTGGTAGAACCTTCAAACTCTGTCAACTTCAAGAAACAAAGGAAAACAAGTTATTTTAACATCTTAACCCTCCGACGCAGAAAGCCTATTTACTAACACGCTTACAGTAAGGGGTCCCTCCGGGGACCCAGATATTTAGCGCCTTGGTTTGAGGCTACACAACACTGTATAGATGTATACAATCTCGACATGTCTGTAGACTATATAAATAAGGAGGTCATTGACAGGAAACAGATGTTGTATACATAGTCTGTGGTCAAGTCGTGCACTTGGCTACCCGCAAGTGACCTTGTTTTGTGCATATGTATATGGGCAGCCCAGGTTGTCAGGCTCAGATATGCCTGACCCGGGGTCACACACTAAAGGTGACTGCATATATCCGTAGAGGATGTCCCTTGCTAGGATTAGATGGAAGATCACCAGAATTGGTTTGAAATGTTTTTTTTTATTAAGGTAATTAACCTAATTGGGTCCCCAAAAGGGCTAGTTTCTGCGTCGGAGTGTTAATCTTCTAATTCATAAGGTTTAGTTCAAATATTGTTTTCATCTGCTATTTTTTGGAAAGGTCATTGTTTGATGAATTTGGTGGACAATAATTACTGTGAAATTTGAGAACAATTTCCCAAATAATTGACAAATTTACAAAAGATCAAAGTGGTCAAGAGAATGGTCAAGAATAATTCTAAAAAAAATTGGTAATGAGTAACAGAGGGTAATAATGGCAATAAATATTTCACCTTTTTGGAGAAAAGTTCAAAAACGAATAGTGTCTAACATTAAATGCATTAGATAAAATGACCTGAGAGCAAATATGCAGTCCTATGCCCCCTGTCTGTCTGGCCTCAACTCCATTTTCAAAGCTGTTGATGAAATAAAATGAATCAATAAACATTCACTGCAACAAATATAGCGGTGCTGTTGAAACCCCTCGGCCTGAGTTTGTTGATATAAGGTGTGAAATTACAAGTACATGTAGTAGGATAGTTACTGGTCAATGGAATGACCTAGACCTTGACCAATGACGTTGACCTTTGACATTTTTTCGATCGATGATTTTCAGTTCGCTCACTGTGTTTTGATGGACGTTCATGACGTTTTTGTACTTAGTGTTTTGTGCTGCAAACAATTTTGCGGGGTTTTGTGTCTATGAGGCTCCGCCCCGCGGAGCATCATGATATAGTTCTTCTAGGAGTATGACCATACTTCCTGAACTTAGTTTAAAACCCTTACACTTACAGTTTTGGAAGACTTACTATACAATCATGGAGCTATAAAAAGAAAGTCTCACAATGTATGCAATTTAAGCATAATAACCCCCTAGGCCCTTTTTGCTTAGAACCATCCTCAATCCTCCAAAATTTTGCAACTCCACCTAAATTTTTCAAAATTGTTAGACAGTCCTGCCTCAAAATGCATTCATCGTCAATCCTCCAAAATCCTCCTCATCCCAAAATTTTGCACTCGTGTTTAAATGAAGGATAACCAACGCCAAATCCTTCAAAATCATCAGAAAGTCCTGCCTCAAAATGCATTCATCCTCAATCCTCCAGAATCCTCATGTGCTTCAATCACCATTCATCCTCAATCCTCTAGAATCCTCATGTGCTTCAATCACCATTCATCCTCAATCCTCTAGAATCCTCTTGTGCTTCAATCACCATTCATCCTCAATCCTCCAGAATCCTCATTTGATTCAATCACCATTCATCCTCAATCCTCTAGAATCCTCCTAAACCGCCAGGAGGATTTTGGAGGAGTGAGGTGGGTTAGGGTTAAAAAATACTCCGGAAAGATTCCATACCTGGAGTTCTGGACATTTATATATGTCTCCGTGGTGTTTTTTTTTCAGATAGGATGCTGGCAGTGGCAGTAAGCATGTAGGATGGAACGCCGTATTATCACGGTACTTATCACGTTTCTTGTTTGGACTAGAGATTGCCCGCCAACCTTCCCAAATTGTCCTGTCTCTTAGGTTGTATAACTCTTCCTTTTCAAATGCCTGTGAAAATAGACATGCTCGGAATGTGCGAATGGAGGTGGACTCCCCATTATCGCGGTATGTGGGAATTGTGGTTTTTATAATAATCTCAACTTTTTTTTTTCATAGTGAATGTTTTACCAAAACATCCCCTGAATAAAGTCTGATATTTTCCCTGTAACGTTCAAGTTGATTAAACTTTGAAAGACTATATATCCCTGCAGGATGATTTCTTAAAACCCTGCCCTTCCCCGAAAGGAGAAGAAAATTACTGTGACAAATCTATCTACTGATTGGTGATTGGGGGCGCCATTGAGTTTACACGGTGTGCTGTTTTATTTTTTTATGTGCTGTCCTTATTTTGATCCCACGACTCCACGATCGATTTTCGGAGGTAGATCGACTGCGGCAATCGATTTTGGGAGGTAGGTCGACTGCGGCTCCACACCTCCACGCAGCCGTACGGAGGCGCGGATGTAGAGTAAAGTGGCCCTGCATTCTATAGTTGTACCCCTGAATCTTTTGGGAACCAGACTAAAAATAAATAGGGACTAAGATGTTTATTTTTTATCAGCCAATCAGCATCGAGCTTTCATCGCAGCGAGCTTTCACATTTGCCTTCTTGGTTTTTGAGTCTGTTTTCTGGTTGTCATTGTCGTCTTTTACCCCTGAATTTCCCTCATAAATCAAAGCCCTGCCCTCTTTCCACAAAATTAAACCTGCTCATATTCAAGAAGGTGTCATTGCCAATTGTTCAGATGTGCCAAGAAATATCAGAATGTCAATTTTGAGTGTCATTTAGTCAACTGTTTTGGTGAGTCTTTCCCTTCCTATATAGGAACGGGGTCCTAAAAGTAAGGATTACCGCGATGGTAACTAAAGTAAGGACTCCGACTATAGTTTTTTGGTAACAAATTTCCCTGCTAAATCCAATATTTTTGGACGTTTTAAACAGGAATGGTGGCATAAATCACTGAAGGGAAAATTGAGTAATGTCCAGATATGCGAATCTTTCCAGTACGCCGAAAGGAAGTTGAATTTTGACAAGTAAATAGTCCAGACTTACCTGATGTACAGGCCTAGCCTACCGCTACATTATCCATACGTGCCATAATGTTGATGTCGGATAACCAAACGACAGGTGGCGCTCTTCACAATTAACGGTGTCAAATACAATCTCGTTTACGTAGTGTTGAGCGGTACGCACTGACAGGTACTTAATACAGGAAAGAAAGTTACAAAATAAAGTTATCCCTGGGGACGAAGTTGCGAAAAAGTTTCTAAATCCGAATTTTCCCATCATGCATTGAGAAATCCAAATTCCTTTCTCGATAGGATTTGGGATTTTGGAATCGTTATTCGTTGTCCGTTTTGCTTTCGAGTCGGGAAGTGGGAATCGTTATTCGTTATCCGTTTTGCTGTCGAGAATGGATTTTCGATTCGAAGTCCGTTATCCGTTTTTCTTTTTGCTTAGGAAATGGGAATTGGTTTCGTTATCCGTTTTTCTTTTTGCTAAGGAATTTGGGAAGTGGGTTTCGTTATCCGTTTTTCTGTTTGCTTAGGAATTGGGAAATGGTTTCGTTAGGAAGGAATTAATGCGACCGGGAATTTACGGGTTATGAGATTGTCACTTTTCACACCGTTAATTGTGAAGAGGGCGCCGCCTGTTGTTTGATGATATCCCATTATTGTCCGCAGTCATGCAGTAGGCTGATGTAGCAGACGTCAGACAACTCGATCGATAACGTACATGTAAGTCATCACGTCTAGACTTTTTATTCACACTTCAATTAGTCAATTCATTATAGGCAGAGCATTTGAAGAGTACATTTGCTAAAAAAAAAAGCAGATAAGAGCCAATATTACATTCTATAGTTGTACCAAATTGGAAAAAACCCACCAACTAAATATTTTCGGTAATCCTTACTTTTTTTAGGACCCCATTCCTATATTATAAGGTTAAAAGACTCACCAAAACAGCTGAATGACACTCAAAAGTTACATTCTGATATTTATTGACACATTTGATAATTTGGCAATGACACCTGTTGAATATCAGCAGGTTTGATTTTGTAGAAAGAGGGCAGGGTTTTGATTTATGAGGGGTTAAAGACGACGATGACAAACAGAAAATAAATTTAAAAAGCAATTGAGATGGCAAACTGCAAAAAAAGGTAGGAAAGTCACATTTTCTTTGAAAGTGCTTTCAAAATTATAACTAACATGAGTTTGAAGAAAAAAGACTTCTTTAGCCTGCCAAAGTCACTTTGGTACTGGACAGTCATCTGCAAAAGTCAGTTTTGAACAGAACTCATACAAAATAGAGGTGTCCTAAAAGTAAGGATTACCATATTTTCCCTGATCACCTACAATCATTTTTCAAATTCAATGAACTGAGCAGTGACTGAAAGTATACAAAATAAAATGCGCTTAAAGCAGTGGTCGATTTAGAGGGGTTTTACATGCACAGGTGCATGTAACTTTGACTCTGTCATGTCTGTGCATGTAAAATTGTGCGTGTGCATGCAAAATTTTCTGTTTCTCAGCCCCTTTTCAAGGAAAAAGCTTAGTTGTGCATGTAACTTTTATTTTCTAAAGCGACCCCTGGCTTAAAGTCCGATTCCGGAACATTGGGAAAGATTTCCATATAAGTTCACTAATTTTCCTCTGTATTGACTAACAAGCCCCCAGATAGCAATTTCATGTCATCAAAGTCAATTTGAGCAGTGAGAAAATACAAGCATTACATGGGAATCGATTATTCGTTTTCCGTCAATTGTCCGAACGTTTAACTGTCGAATTGGAAAATGGGAATCGTTATTCGTTTTCCGTTTGGCTGTCGAATAGCCTTAACATCCAGAAGTGGACTTTGCTGAGTACCCGCGTAGATGTAGATAGAAAACACTTATAATTTTTCAGTCCAATCCAGGGTTTGTACACAGGGTGTTGATGTTAGTACTATATGGAAATCTTTCCCCGGAATGTTATTTTGTGCGTTCCAGAACTACAAGGCGGGCGTCTGTGTCATGTTGTATGTTTGCATGTACACTGCAAGCGGCAGCTGTACCGTACTGTATTCGCAAAGTAACGTGTACATAAATTGTGCATAAAATTGTGACTCAAGTCGACTCGAGTCATTACAACTCTGACCAATGCCTATTCTTAACATACACATTGACAAAATGAGAGACTAAACACGATGGAGCTTGGTAGCTCAGTTGGTAGAGCACTGGAACGGCAATCCGGAGGTCCCAGGTTCTATTCCCTCTTCCTTTCAATTTGTGGATTGTTGTATTTCCCTGTACAGGCCACAGATTATTGCATTGACTGGTCGCCCTGGATGCAGGCCTGCCCTGGTTCACTTCGTCTCCCATATCACCAAGAGCACAAGCCTTCTCATATGCGGAGCAGTGCTGATCGTAAGTAATCTGCTACAGTCGCAATTTGTCTGTGATTTGACAAAAGTTTGTCCTTGTGAAGCAGTGGGATCAGAACCTATAGCGTTGCGGATCATAAGTAGTCTGCTACAGTTGCAAGTTGTTTGTAGCATAAACATAAATGTCATAAAGAGTGGGTGATTTGTCTTTTTTGTGTGAACAATGTGAGAGACATCATATTTTTAATTATTATTTTAGTAGAGTATTAATTTCTTTTTAGTAAAGAATTGATGCTAAGCTTTAAGGGGAAACATTTTGTCCCGCCTTTCATACAGGGTGAGAAGAGTACACATTGGATGGAGCTTCTGACAGACTCTCAGGAGAAATGGGTGGATGTTCAGAAGATCAAGGCATTCCCAGCCATGGTAGCAAGCCCTACGCTAAGAACCGGGGCACAGGCACTCATGCAGGTAGGCTTATGAGGGGCATCAGGGTCAGACCTGAGTATGCGTGGATAGCTCAAGTTTTCTGCATTTTGATGAGTTGTGTACCTTTTGACAACTACACGCGTTTCAGACTAGCATTCAGAGAAGTGCCGAACTAATTATTCCAAAGAGTTGAATTAAGTTTGACGTTTGAAACATTGAGGAGCAACTACACATAAAAGTCGTCCAAAGATTGAGTGTTGCAGTCGTTCAGAATGACTCCAGCGTCTAATCAATGGAAAATGAATACAAAAACTTTGCCCGTGTTTGCAACTTGAATCTATTTAAGTTGAGTTTAGTTAAGTTTAGTTAGGGACTCTGAAACACCAGTTTTAAATGGGTTGAGGTACTGTTTGATAACTCCGGTCTTTTAAGTCGAGTCTGCTTGACGAGTGAAGCAGTCTGCGATAAGTCGAGTATGAGTTGAGTAAGTTTTTTTTGACAAGTAGACTACTTTTTACTGAGTACTACTTTATGAGTCGATTCATTTGTTTTTAAAGGGAAAATACAACATTTGCAAACATCAAAAAATAAAACTACCAAATCATTTTGAAATACCTTGCTGGACTGTTAGTGAATGACAGTGTAAAGCATCCTGTAAAATCATGGCACCTGGTATACTGTCATTTTCAAGAAAAGTTGTATTTTTGTATCAATTTCCAACGCTGATCGGCCGATCAGCGTTGGAAAAAACTTGCTTTTTTTCAAATACTGGCCCCAATTGACCATCGCACTTGTTTTCAATCGATTACAAACCTATGAACGGGTACGAGCCAGCTAGACTGGTTCCCTGACCTTACAATTCCCCAATGTATGTAAATTGCTCTGTTTCTTCTTATATGGAGTCAGGGAACCAGACTACAGGAAAATGATTGTTTTTCTTGGTTTTTATAGCATTTTCGAACCCAAAACCTCAAAAAAGTCAGTGTAACTATATTTGCTATATATTTCCAACCCCCCAATTCCATCCATTTCTGAAAATTACAGCAAAAGCAAATGATGTATATTCCCTTTAATGAATCCTGAGGTTTTGTATTAGTTGAGTACCGTTTTACAAGTCTTGTGTACCTCTGGTGAATTATTTTAATGAATATTTCGATGAGTATTTTGAGTACCGAAATGTGTACTCACAGTTGAGAACTTGAAAAAGACTTTGCGGAATGAATTTTGATGAACAGTTTGAGTAAAATTTAAGCAGGTCTTTAAAAAATTACGTCAAAGTTGCAAAATGTATAACAAGATAATTAAACCAGATTTGTCCAGGTTTTTCGCTTTTTGCAGCGCTAACTTTGGTCTTTTCCAAGACCTACATGTAGCTGACGATTTATTTAGAGCAAATGCATTCAAATTTTCCTTCCTGATTGGTTTCCGTCTAGATTGGTGGGTTGGGTAAGATCAAGACCAACACAATCATCAAGGAGCTCTCCAAACCCTGGATGCTGGATGAGGAAGCAGCCTGGAGACCACGGAGAAGATTCCTTGGAAGATCAGCAAGGAAGAAGTCATCATGCTCAAAGAGAAGGTAGAATCAGGTAGTTGGTCAGTAGTGCAGAATGATTCACATGTTAACTAATGCATGCAAAATAGAGAAAAAAGTTTAATGACTATCATCCCACCTTATATTTTTAGGCTATAGAAATGTCAAACCCCAAAAACAGATTTTTTACCTACCCTACCATACAGTTTTTTTTTTTTTATATGTAATAGAAAACACCACACGTTTTGTTCTTGGTTGGCTTTATTATTTTGTTTCAGTGTCCTATTCATTTCAGGGAGCCTTTCAGAGATCTCTCAGGTTATTCTGGATGGCTGCATGTCGAAGGAAACACATGCTTTATGTCAAAGGGAAATTATGCTCTGTATAATTTTTGTTTGTGAACCCCCCCCCCCCCTCAGCCCCCACCTCCCACCACCACCCCCCCCCCCCCCCACCCCCAGGCTTGACCCTACTCATCCCAACCTCATCTCCTTGAAATCCAACTGGGAGAAATGCAAGCTGCGCGTCTTTGCCACCACGGGCAAGAAGGAGCAAACGGACAGGGAGAAAATGAACATGGCCAACATGCTCAGCAAGTTCCGCATCAACTGCTCGGACGTGGAGGTCATCCCGGACCTGAACAAGAAGCCCAAGGAGTAGAGCCTGAGACGGTTCAAGGAGCTGTCCAAACCCTGGATGCTGGATGAGGAAGCAGGGGAGACCACGGAGAAGTTTCCTTGGAAGATCAGCAAGGAGGAAGTCACTACACTCAACGAGAAGGTAGAATCTCCTTCTTGCACTCAAGCACCCCCCCCCCTCCACAGAGAAAACTATAAACGAGGGCCGTTTGGGCGCCATCATGGCTTATAAATGCTGGTTCCAAATACACGATAACCAGCATGAGTGAACCAGTGAAGTGTCCCTCATTCCGGCTTCTGCTAGTTTGACTATAAAGCGCCCTCTTTTGTCCATGCATGGAGACAATACACTTAAAGCTTTCCCAGTATCCACTTTACGCTTAGTCCCTGGTTTGTGTGATAAGTCCAGTCTTGCAACATTTGTTAATTGTGTCCAACCTTTGACATTCTGGTGGGTGATTTTCAATAATGAGATTGATCACTTTCAATCCATTTTTCCGTACAACTCTCAGTTCATTTGATTTGCCAAGTGCATGGAACTCGACTTTATTAAACATCAATAAATCACTCCATTTTTTCGCCTGAAATCTTTCTTTTTCTTTTAGACCAACGGACAGATGCGGATCCGTGAATTGCTTCTCCAACATTCCCAGGAGGCTCAGCTCATTGTCATGTAAGTACACAAAGCCACTACTAACTCAATAGACTCAATTTCATGGTTTAAGCACACAATTCTGTGCTGATGATCTAGCACACTAGCACCGAAATCCTGCGCTATCCCTGTAAGCACAGAAGTTATCCCCTGTAACTGATTGTTTACACTTTTGCAAAAGCTGTAATTTCTAAGTGTCATGCAAAAATGTCTGTTGTAGTGTTGGCGATTCCCATGAAAATAATGAGTGGCTAATCTAAGGGCACTTACTTCACAATTACGCAAACCTACTCACTATAGCAGAAACTAGCGTGAAATCCTAAACAGGGGTGGATCTAGCTTTGGCTGGGGGAGGGGGGTGCGATGTCAGGTATGGTTTGGGATCTGGAAAATGTTTCCATTAACCTCCTTCCTTCAGATATCAAAATGCTTTTTCCTCATTAACAAAGTAAGCCCCCTAGCCTGCATTATAACTAATTCGTCCTTTGTCACGATATTTAATACTTGATGAAATATTCTTCTATAAAACAATTTCACAAAAAAAGAAAAAACAACAATATAGCCTCCTAGCCAAGATGGTTAATATCCTCATTAATTCCTTTAAAAACATATTCCCCTAGCCAAGATGGTTGTAGCTTTCTCCATAATTTCCTTCTAAAAATATCCTCCTAGCCATTAATCCTTTCTAAAACAAATATCTTCCTAACCATGATGGTTCGTCTCCTCCATAATTCCCTTCTTAAAAAAATGTCCTTCTAGCCTAGATTGTTAGTTTCTTCCATAAATTCCTTCTAAAAATGTCCTTTAGCCGGGATGGTTAGTCTTCTCAATAAATCCCTTCTAAAACAAATATCCTCCTAACCATGATGGTGCCTCTCCTCCATAATTCCCTTCTAAAAAAAATTCTCCTAGCCAAGATGGTTAGTCTCCTCTGTAATTCCCTTCTAAAAAAATATCCTCCTAGCCACGATGGTTAGTCTATTCCATTATTCCCTTCTAAAAAATATCCTCCTAGGCAAGATGTTTAGTCCCTTTAGTAATTCCCTCCTAAAAAAAATATCCTCCAAGCCAATATGGTAGTCTCCTCCATAATTTCCTTCAAAAAAAGCACCCTCCGAGCCAAGCATGGTTTAGTCTCCTCCATAGTTCCCTTCTAAGAAAAATATCCCCTAGCCAAGATGGTTAGTCTCCTCCATAATTCCCCTCTGAAAAAAAATCCCCCTAACCAAGATGGTTAATCTACTCCATAATAAAAGTATCCTCATTACCAATAATTATGGTCGTCTTCTCAGTAATTCGCTTAAAACAAGTCTGAGTCTTGCGCGTAACTTTGTACACACCTGTCCCACGTTCTTTCCACTGACTATCCCTATTGCCGAGTATGATATATGTCTATATCTTTTATAAATAGTCGTCATGCTCATTCAAAGGCATATTCATAGAAAGGTGGAAATCTCCTTGCTGCCAAGGTGTCAGATTTAACGTTTGGTATACCGTGAGGTATATCTAGGTTGTCTTAACTTCAGGTTTACTCCGATCTTAACGATAACCAAGTTAATGATCATTAAATAACAATTGACTGTTTTTTTTCTTTTTCTGAAGGCTGGTACAAGGACAAGATTTTGCCCACGATGGAGTTCTGTGCTGTTGGTTGGGTAAGATCAAGACCAACACAATCATCAAGGAGCTCTCCAAACCCTGGATGCTGGATGAGGAAGCAGCCTGGAGACCACGGAGAAGTTTCCTTGGAAGATCAGCAAGGAAGAAGTCACCATGCTCAAAGAGAAGGTAGAATCTCCTCCTTGGGATCAAGCACCCCCCCCCCAACAGTGATAACTATAAACTTTATATTTATTTTTGTGTAAGTTGGTCAGTAGACGGCAGAATGATTCACATGTTAATTAATGCGTGCAAATTAAAGTAGAGAAAAAAAGTAAATTTTAATGATTATCATCCCACCCTATATTTTTAGGCTATTGAAATGTCAAACCCCCAAAACAGATTTTACCTACCCTACCACACAGTTGTTTTTTGTATGTAGTAGAAAACACCACACTTTTGGTTCTTGGTTGGCCTGATTATTTTATTGTATGTTTCAGTGTCCAATTCATTTCATGGAGCCTTTCAGAGATCTCTCAGGTTATTCTGGATGGCTGCATGTCTAAGGAAACACATGCTTTATATAATGCTCTGTATAATTTTTGTTTATGAACCCCCCCCCCCCAACCTCCGCCCCCACCTCCCACCACCCCCAGGCTTGATCCTACTCATCGATCACCTCATCTCCATGAAATCCAACTGGGAGAAATGCAAGCTGCGCGTCTTTGCCACCACGAGCAAGAAGGAGCAAATGGACAGGGAGAAGATGAACATGGCCAACATGCTTAGCAAGTTCCGCATCAACTGCTCGGACGTGGAGGTCATCCCGGACCTGAACAAGAAGCCCAAGGAGTAGAGCCTGAGACGGTTCAAGGAGCTGTCCAAACCCTGGATGCTGGATGAGGACGCAGGCGAGACCACGGAGAAGTTTCCTTGGAAGATCAGCAAGGAGGAAGTCACTACGCTCAACGAGAAGGTAGAATCTCCTTCTTGCGCTCAAGCACCCCCCCCCTCAACAGAGAAAACTATAAACAAGGGCCATTTGGGCGCCATCGTTGCTTATAAATGCTGGTACCAAAATGAACGATAACCAGCATGAGTGAACCAGTGAAGTGTCCCTCATTCCGGCTTCTGCTTGTTTGACTATAAAGCGCCCTCTTTTGTCCATGCATGGAGACAATACACTTAGAGCTCTTCCCAGTACCCACCTTATACGGAAGATGGATAGTGCCACTCAATGAGTGTGAATATATTTTTTTTGGTGCGTGTGAAAATATTTTTTTTTGCACAGCGGCTGCCACTTATTATTTTAAATTGATGTAGCGTTCGCTGTACAAAAAAATATTCCCACACGCACCAAAAAAATATATTCACACTCATGGAGTGGCACTATCTGTCTTCCGTAACTTAACGCGTAGTACCTAGTTTTTGTGATTTCAACATACAGGGTGAGCAGAATATTTCGATGAGTATTTTGAGTACCGAAATGTGTACTCACAGACTTTGCGGAATGAATTATGATGAACAGTTTGAGTAAAATGCAAGCAGGTCTTTAAAGAATTAAGTCAAAGTTGCAAAATGTATAACAAGATCATTAAGCCAGATTTGTCGAGGTTTCTCGCTTTTTTTCAGCACTAACGTTGGTCTTTTCCAAGACCTGAACACAATTTATTTAGAGCAAATGCATTCAAATTATCCTTCCTGATTGGTTTCCGTCTAGATTGATGGGTTGGGTAAGATCAAGACCAACACAATCACCAAGGAGCTCTCCAAACCCTGGATGCTGGATGAGGAAGCAGCCTGGAGACCACGGAGAAGTTTCCTTGGAAGATCAGCAAGGAAGAAGTCACCATGCTCAAAGAGAAGGTAGAATCTCCTTCTTGTGCTCAAGCACCACCCCCCCCCCCTTCTATAGTGAAAACTATAAACTTTATATTTATTTTTGTGTAAGTTGGTCAGAAGTCCAGAATGATTCACATGTTAACTAATGCATGCAAAATAGAGAAAAAAAGTAAATTTTAATGACTATCATCCCACCTTATA